TACCAGGACATTCCCCGATAGCCAACAACCCATCCCAAGTAGCACCTGGGTCTGAGCAGAAGGTGCAGAGTCATCCACCCAGCCAAGCCCAGGCCGCTGCTCTGCCTTTCTATAGACAAGACCTCCATGACCAGAGAGGGCAGAGGATCAGAAAAACCAGGACCAGCGATACCAGTCAGTCATTCCAGCTGGAAGCTGGGGGTGGACTCACTGACTTCTGTGAGGTCAGCAGAGACAGACACAAAGTTGGCCTTGGCTTAAGGGACACCATTCTCTTTGAAGAGTGAACCGACAGGGGAGCAGGCTGCCCTGAGCATGCAGAGATGCTAGCATCATCGGGGTGGTCTCCCAGAAGGTGGCCTGAAGAAGGATAAGTGACTAGAGGTGAGAAAAGAAACCACCTGTAGACAGGGCAGTCCAGATAAGCATCTCATACCAACTCCTCTTTCTGAGGCCTGGGTTACCACAGCAGCAAGGCAGGCAGGGGCAGCGGGGAGGGGCAGAGGGACAGGAAGTTAGTGGGGCAGGTAAGAGGGGAGCATGGGTTGAGGGGACAGAGGACTGGCCCTGCTTGGAGGTAGAACTCAAACCAGTTTCAAAGCAAAGAGTGCAGAAGTGGTTTGAGGTTGCACAAGCTGGTGAGGAAGAAGAGCCACCCCGCTACACCAGCATTTTCCAGCCTCCCCTGAGACAAGCCCACGGCCCAATGCCTGAGGTCCCTGAGAAACAAAGCCTGCTGGTGACTCACCAGTTGGACAGAGGCACCAGCTCAGTCACCAGCGTGATGGCAGGGTGGGAGTGATACAGTCCACAGCCTGCGGGGGGAAGAGGAGGGCAGTCTTCCCCATCCCTAACTCTTCCTGGACCCAGGGAAGAGAAGACAGCAGGAGGTTTACAGTGATGGAGTGGTTGTACCCCAAACCAGCTCTAGAAGGAAATAAAGAACCCCAAGAAAGACTCCCCAGACTCCCACTGCTCTGACCTGGCTGGCACTGATAGACAGAGACAGCGTCACCAAGATTTCTCAACAGGATCTCCAGATCTGGCCTTGGTGTGGTGCCTAAGCCTTCAGAGAGTAAATCCATCTATTAAAAAAAATACCCAGGTGCCGGGCACGGTGGCTCAAGCCTGTAATCCCAGCACTATGGGAGGCCGAGGCGAGAGGATTGCCTGAGCCCAGGGGTTCGAGACCAGCCTGGGCAACTTGATGAGACCTCATCTCTACAATATACCAAAAAATTAACCAGGTGTGGTGGCATGTGCCGGTAGTTCCAGCTACTTGGAAGGCTGAGGCAGAAGGATCGCCTGAGCCCAGCAGGTCGAAGCAGGGGCCGTGAGCGTGCCACTGCACTCCAGTCTGGGGGATGGAGTGAGACTTCAACTCAAAAAAAAAAAAAAAATACCCAGATTTATTCCATTGAGGAGTAGCCCAGTACCTTAGGAGCCTTCTAGGGCCATCTCGAGCATCTCTGTCATTTGGTCTCACGGCCCAGGCATAATAACGAGCTACTCTCCTCTTGTCTGAGCTCACCTGGAAACCAAGTCTCAAACTCCCTGCTCCATGATGCCTCCTAGCTAAGCTTCCTTCCAGCATCAGCACCTATGGGCCGGCCATGACGGGGGAACTGGGGACCCTTCTGTCCCAATTGCTCGACCTCCTCATGAAGGCTTCCATTTGCATTAACTTTGAACATGTTCAGGACCTGTGTGATGAATTCTTTCCTAGCAACAGATATCAGCCCAAGAGACTCGTAGGTGAACAAGAAGGCCACAACCTTGTGGGAAAAGGCAGAGAAGTCCAGAAAGCAGAAACTCAGGCACAAGGTTAGTAAAGTCTTCAATCCCTTGGGGGTGGGGTGTGGGGAGGCCTTCCCAAGGGCCTTTGAGTGGGAACTGCCACTGTCAGGGCAGAATTACCCAACCTAACTGGAGTCCCTGCGGAGTCCCTGTGGTCACCCTGTTTATCTTCCTGCCTCCAGACTGGTCAGCAAAGTCAACCAGACACACAAAGCTCTCCAGCAAAACAGAGTGTCACCCATCCCTCTGTGGGATCCACTGAATGTCTCTGAGTTCTCCCAGGTGGTGATTCTGCATTCTAACCCGATCCTCTTGTCACAAATAGAGTCCACCTCCTCTGTGAAACTAGAAAGCAGACACTCACCACCAACACCAACAATAGACCCATGTTTAGGGTGGTCTCTGATCAGACCCAGGCCCTTCTCAGAACTTCTTCCCACTGAGATACAACTTCTCTATTGACACATCTTAGTTCCAATCTGTTAAGGCCCCAACTAATTCTACAGCCAGTGTTAGATCATAGGAAAAAGACATCTCTTTTCTTCATCATCCTCATTACCAATAACAACCACAATAGTCCCATGAGTCACCAGACACTGTATGGAGTGCCTTATACTTATCTGACTTAATTCTTCCCGCTTAACAGCTGGGGAAACAGGCTGAAAAGCTACATAACTTATCCAAGATCATACAACTAGAAGTGGCAGAGCTGGATTCCAACTTTGGTCCAATTCTCTGAAACTAGTAGAGGGATATTTGCCTTGTCCTCGCTGTGTCCACAGGGCCTGGCATACAGGAGACACTCATAAAGTACTTGCTCCATAAATAACTCAAAACATGGATGGACAGATGGAAGGATGGGTGAGTGGGTGAGCAGGTTAAAGTGAGCTCTGATCATCACAATACCAGCCCTAAGATGCACAGGAAGTGGCCACCTCATCAACAGAGACTGCTGCCTCTACCCATCTGAACTGCTATCTGTACCCACTCCACCCCCCACACCCCGGGGAATGCCATTGCTGCCATGAGGGTCTGAGATTCAGAAATGGGAGAAGCCAAACACCTCAGGTGACCTCATCCTTCATTCACTGGAAGTCTGCCTTCCCAGCTCTGGGAAAGTCCCTATTCCTGAGTACCCCATCAGGTGTGGCACCTGCCCCAGGCAGAGAAGAGGGCCCAGTCCTGCCCAGTGGTGACCGTTCCATGGCATTAAGACAAGTGTACACAACCACCATCTCTGGGAAGAGCCGTTTCCTTAAGAGCTCTGACCTCGGGTGTCACTGAGAGAGGAGGTGCTGGGGTTGCCCCTTCCCCTCACCCCTCAGCACTTGGGCCTTCATCAGTTTCCCCCAAAGAGGGCCCCTGGTCTCTGAGGGAGACTGGAGAGAGCTAAGACTGTGATCAGGGCAGCTGCCAACCCTGTCTCCTGGAGCGCCCAGCAGGAGAGGCGGTTCTAAGAAGGCAGCCAGCAGAAGGACCCGCAGACTCAGAGGCTCATTACAGGGAATGACTAAGTGAGCTGCGATTCCAGGGGAAACCCCACTCGCTTCTGCTCACTAAGGGGCTCATCCTTGAGCTGTTTAGACGAAGGCAGTTTCCAGGTGCTGCCCTCGGCTGGGACGTCCCCCTAAGAGCAGCCGGGTCCCTAGAAGACCCTCTGCCTGGAAGTCTTGATCCTGGCTATTCAGGTCGTCTGACAGGTCCGCCCCACCCGTTTCCAGGGCAAGCAAGTCTGCCCATCCCCGGTTAAAGCGAGATGCTGGGAATGGGGGAAATCCGATCAGCACCTCCTAGGTTTTTGCGGCTGGATTTCAACAAGGAATGTGACAGTCTCGCAGCAGCTGTGCCCTGCCTGAAACAAGCTCTATTTGAAACCTCCAACAGCTGAACCCCTCCCAGCTACCCGCTGGCCAGCCTGCCCAGCCACCCCCTGCCCAAAATGACAAATAAATAGAGAAATCCAAGCAACGAGGAGGCGCACGCATACGTACACACATGCACACACACACACACGCCAACAAATTGAGGGTGAGGGGCATAGTGGGAAAAAAGCCACTTGTCCAGCGATTCCCCGGGTCTCCAATCCTTCCAGCCCGCAGCAGGAGGGCTTCCCGGCAAGCAGAGCATTCACAGAAACCCACCTTCCTCAATCTCCATTCCCTAGGGAGGGAAGCCCCCTCCTCTGTCTTGGGGCTGGACTGAGGGGCTGGAGCAGCGGGGCCAGCTCCCCCCAAAGCCGGTGTTTGGTGTTCTCCATCCCCGCGCACACTCACACATACACTCATCTTTATTTATCCCCGGGAGGAGCTGGGGTGGGAGGGGAGAGCCAGGGCTGAGCTGGGGGCGCGGGCTGGCGGGGACCGCCCGGGAAGCCCTGTCATCCCATCCCAGGGAGAGGCACTCCCCCAGCTGATGCCAAGGCGGTGCCCATCTGCTGTGCCCGGGTAACACCTGTAGCCATTTTTATCAGGAGATGTTTACGAAGCAGCAGCAGGTTCATTCCGAGTCTTCTTTCCTAAGGGAAGGGACTGCTGTTTCCTCCACCTATATTTTTACCCCGATGCCCTCAGGGGACTCGGGTCATGGGTGGTTTTCTATTTTGCCCGAGTGTCTCTGAGAAGAGGAGGGAAATGGAAACTTGGGTCAAGAGGGAGAAGGCAGGGAGAGAAGGGACTCCGGCAACGGTGCGGAATCCCCACCCCCCACCCGGACATGTATTTCTTTTTTATCCTCGGGAAAATGGAGTGGAGCAGGGAGGGGAGGAGAGGAGGGGAAGTCGCAGGAACTGGCAAACACATCAAGGCAGAGTGTAATTAATTGGTGCGTTAAGCTGCTGGGTTATGCTTTAGTACGAGTGAGCCAGGAGGAGAAAACGATTTCTCAGAAGGGATTCTTTAATCCTCCCTAACAGAATCTGCAAATTAGACACAGTGTGTGGGGATGTCCCCCACCCCCAAAGGAAGCGAGGAATGAATTCTCCCGGGATCAAGAAGGCAAACCATGGGAAGTTAGTGTTCAATATAACTGAGCAAACACCTCTCACCACCACCGCCACCTCTCTCCCAATTGCTCTCTCAGCCGCTCGATCTCTCTCAATCTCTCTGTCTCTCAGTCTCTCTCTCAATCTGTCTTTCTCAATCTCTCCCTCTTGCTACCTACATATTCCTTTTGTTCAAGGTATAAAGAGAAACCACAGCCCCTACCTTTGAGTACAAACCCCAAGAGAGCTCGGTCTCTATCACCATAACAACAATTCCAAACATCCCAAAAATCAGAGCATAGTCACTCAGTCGCTTTCTCTTTTCAAACAGGGCCCTCCTGTGTCCCAGCTTATAGCCAATGTTTTGGTTTTTCCGCTTGTTGGCTTTGGGGAAGGTGGTGCTGCTGGCGGTGGCGCCGGCATGCTGGTGGTTGTGGGTGGCGTTGGGGTGATGGAGCAGGGTCTGGTGGGCATGGTTGTCCTCCCGGGAGGAGATGACGATCTCTGGGGGGTTGCTGGGGCTGAAGAGCTGGAGGGGCTGACCCTCGGGCTCGGCCTCGATGAGGTTCCTCCGGGAGGCGCTGAGGCGGCTGAGGGGCTTCATGACCCCACCGCTGTACTTGCAGGAACTCATGGCGATCTCCGTGAAGGGGTTGCTGTCCCGCCGGTGCACCAGGGGGCTGGCCTGTCTGTGCCGGCTGCCTCCGCCAGGCCCACTTGTAGCTGTGGAACTTGGAGAGTGGCCAAGCAAGTGGTCATTGAGATTGAGCTGGCTGCCTTGCCTGGAGGAAGGGTGGAGGATGGCGGTGGAGTTGGCCGAAGGGGGGGCCCTGAAGGCGGTGGGAGAGGAGTGCAGCAGGCCGGGGTGCACGGGCTGGCTCTGGAGTTGGGCGAGCTGAGACAGGGGATGCGGTGGCTGCTGCTGCGGCTGCTGAAGCTGCGGAGGCTGAGGCTGCAGCGAGGGTCCTGGGGGCTGCTGGGGGGCTGCTGGTGGTGCTGGCGGTGGTGGTGGCTGCTGCTGCTGCTGCTGCTGCTGCTGCTCATCCCCAGAGGACGGGCAGGGGCACTTGGGATCTTCGTCCAGGTCCCCCACCCCCGAGTCATGGAAGTGCCCAGAAGTGTCCATCTTGGGGCCTGGCTGTATTCCCTGCAGCACAACCCCCCACCCCAAAGCCACCCTCGCTCCAAAGATGTCCTCAAAGAAAGCCAGGCATCCAAGCTCCCCCACCAGTGTCTTGGTTCCAGTCTTCTCTCTTTGGCTTGCTTCGGTTCTCAGGGGCTGCCTGGAGTCCGGACGCTGCCACTCAAGAATGCATTGTACTGGGCAGGGAGGGAGGATAGGAGAGACGCTTGGAGAGAAGAAAGGGGGAAAAGAACTCTGTCTCAGGAGGTGGTCCTCCAGGAGCGTGTGAGGCCAGGCTCAGCTTCACTCCTCGCTGGCTCAATGCTTCGCTCTCCTCCTCCTGTCACTGCTAGAGTGTAAGCCAAGCCCACTTATTAGCAGCTGGCCTCATTGGCTTGGCTTCACTCTCCAACCACCTCCTGGCTCCGCCCCTCACCCAGGCTCCGCCCCGGAGGAGGGGCCTGCCGTCCTCGCTCCCGGCCCCCGCGGCGGCGCAGCGCGGGCTGGGAATTGTAGTTTTTGCTGCCCCACCCGGGAGCCGGGCTGCTGCCCTCCCTCCTCTGACAGGTACGGCCAAAACCCGCAAGCCCACGGCGACGAGGACAGTACGCTCAGGTGGGGCGATGGGGAGGAGGGGCAGAGGGCCCCTCAGGAGGGGAGCTGTGACCATGAAGAGGGCGCAGGGGGAGGGGAGGACGAGGGTGTATTGACGGCCAGGGTCTGCGATGGGTTGTTTCCCACATATTACCCAGATGCTTTCTCCAAACACCCAAGGAGGTGGGCATGGGGTTCTCGTTTTGCAAAGGAGAAAACGAGTGTTCAGAGATGTTGAGTGACGACGTCAAGGTCACAGAAGCCGAGGGGACCCGCTCTGACACAAGGCGGATAAACTCACCTGCCACTGAGTGCCCGCATCGTGTGTCAGGTGCCTGTGTGATTTCCAACCCTCACATCGACTCTATGAAAATGATGTCATTCTTCTCCTTTTACAGATGAAAGCTGTAAATAAAGAAAAAAAGATAAGGGGGGAAAAAAACAAACCAAAACACTCAAGCACAGATACGTTAAGTAACTTGCCAGATGTCACCCAGCTTGTAATCAAGGGTGCCAGGATTTGAACTCAGGCCGGTCTGACCCCACAGCTCCTATACTGCCTCCCAGGCTGCCCTTCCACTTTGACACAAAGTGGTTGTTCAATAACTATTGTTCAAATGATGAATGTGAAAAAGCCAAAGAGAAGCTATGAGGAAGAACTGGCCTCCTCAGAGCAGGACGTGTGAAGGGGACCATGGCGCCAGCCCCTTCCCTAACAGCTGGCCATGGAGTCACCAGAGGATCTGGCAGGAAGGGTGAAGACCCCCATGGTCACTCCCTGGCTGATTTGTCCCATGGGGCTCTGAGAGCAGAGCTGGGAACAGCTGCTGGCTTCCTGAGTTCAAAATCATCATCATCAAGTATTTATTAAGCTCCCACTGTGTGCAGAGGGGGTTCCAGAGGCTGGGACCAGAGATGAATTCATTTTCATTTCTAGCAGCAGCAACCTTAAGGATCAGAGAGGAAGACACCATTATGGAATTCCCCAGGCACACCTGGGGTTTTAAGAGGGAGGCACTTTTCTGTCTAGTTCCTGATTTCCCATCACCCTTTGGCCTCTGTCCAGCCCCCTCCCAAGGTGGGAAGAAGAAAAGGTGGAAGACCCATGCACACGCACAGGCACACACAGAAAACATGTCTGCAATGGACACACATGTGTGCACATGTACATAAGTTTGTGCACACATTGGCCCATGCACATGTATACACACACACCTGGTGAGCTGCTGAATGGTGAGCAGTAAGTAGCCAGGTCAGGGAGAGGCAGAGCTCCCACCAAATGAGCCCAGAGTCCCCTGTCTATCAGTTCTCACCTCTCCAGTCCCCCAGCATCCTGGTGACTGAGAGCTAAATGTTACTTGTGATACAAGCCACAACCCCAGGTACCTGAATAATTATAATTACTCTTGCACAATGATCTTGATTATTACCTTTTTTTTTTGAGTCGGAGTCTCACTGTTGCCCAGGCTGGAGTGCAGTGGCACACTCATGGCCACCGCAGCCTCGACCTGCTAGTCTCAGGTGATCCTTCTGCTTCAGCCTTCCCAGTAGCTGGAACCACAGGCATGTGCTACCATGTCTGATTTATTTTTTTATTTTTTGTAGAGACAAGGTCTTACCAACTTGCCTGGGCTGGTCTCGATCCCCTGAGCTCAGGTAGTCCTCTCGCCTCGGCCTCCCAAAGTGCTGGGATTACAGGTTTAAGCCACCGCGCCCGGCCAGATTATTATCAATGACACTACACACACACACACACACACACACACACACACACACACACACTACAGGTCCCAGCACCATGGTTCAGCTGCAAGCCTGGGGTCTTACATGTTTTCCCATGACCAGGCCCCCCAGCACCTCCACCTCACCTCATCCCCTCCAGCATGTCCTGCCTTCCCTCCCCTTCCCTCCTGTCTTTATCCTGCCCCCCCAACTTCCCCTCCTCCATCCCTAAACAGAGCCACCCGTTTGGTTCAAGGCTCCAGATCACATATTGAGGTGTAGCGATTTTCTAAGAAGTTATCATTACGGTGTTGTTAGTAGCAGAAGCGTCTTGTTAGTCCTGGTTTTCAGTGCTAGATACAGCTTCTAGGCTGTGAAAAATCAATTTTGGAGGCACAGACGGGCCTGAGCATTTCTTTGCCCACTCCACCCTATGAGGTGCCTCATGCCTCAGCTGACCTTCCTGGGTCAGCCACCTGCCTCCAGTTCTCTGGGATGTGCCAGCAGGGTCCAAATGAGGCCTGGTGAGGATGAGAGACAGACTGGATTGGGCCTTAACCATGCCCGAGCCAAAGATCAGGGGTTCATCTGGGAATGGGCAACCTGACAGCTGATAACACTGAGGCAGTTCACAGCCCTCATTACGGCCGCCTTGTCACAAACAGGAGGAGGACACTGTCACGGTTAGAGTTTGGGCTCTAGAGTCAGACTGTCCCCGCTGGAGCCCTTCTCTACTGTGGGATGGTTGTGTGACCACAGGCAAGACGCCTTCTGATCCTCAGCTTCCTACTCTGTAGAAGGCTCCCTGCCTCAGGCGGCTTGGGAGAAGATTAGATGCAGGTTTCTATGGAGGGGGCCACCCCACCATCCAGGGCAGCCCCGAATCCCTCAGCGGGATCCTGGAACTGGCTGGTACTGGCTCATCAAAGTCAACCATACACCTCACTTCCCAACTCCATGATGATGTCACCTGGGTAGCTTGAAATCAACCATGGCAGGAGTATTCACACCAGCGACCCCCAGCCTTTTTGGCATCAGGGACCAGTTCCACGGAGACAAGTTTTCTACAGACAGGGGAGGGGATGGTTTCGGGATGATTCGAACACATTACATTTATTGAGCACTCCATTTCTACTATTATTACACTGTAATAGACAGTGAAATAATTACATAACCCACCATAATGGAGACTCAGTGGGAGCCCTGAACTTGTTTTCCTGCAACTAGACGGTCCCATCTGGGGGTGATGGGAGACAATGCTAGCATCACTGCCTCAGCTCCACCTCGGATCATCAGGCATTAGATTCGCATAAGGAGCATGCGATCTAGATCCCTCACAAGCACAGTTAAAAGTAGGGTTCGCGATCCGATGAGAATCAAATGCCACCACTGATCTGACAGAAGATAGCGCTCAAGCGGTAATGTGAGAGATGGGAAGCAGCTGTAAATACAGATGAAGCTTCACTCTTTTGCCCACCACTTACCTCCTGCTATATGGCCCAGTTCCTAACAGGCCACAGACTGGTACTGGTCCATGGCCCAGGGGTTGAGGACCCCTGATTTATACCACAGAAATCGGCAGGTACTATAAATCAGGGCTTACGTTTTCCTGGAAAGCCAGTTGGCAAGCCTTTCCTGGTTGTTAACATCTACCAGCATGTGACTGTCTCTTATTCCAGGCCATGGAATCCAGGCTGTGCATGCCACCCTCCTCCAGACGCTGTCCAGGTCTTCGCTCTCCTCCGTCCCTTTCACCAGCACCAGCATTGCCACCTGCTCACTGTGTGACCTTGGGCCAATTGCTTAACTTCTCAGGACTTCAATTCCCTGAGCCCCAAGGAGGTGGCACTGCCATGTACTTTGTAAACATAAAGTACCTCCAGGTGGTGATCAACTGAGAGCTGCTCAGCCACAGGGCCCGATCATGTCAGACCTTCCACCCTTCCCCACGGATTCATGGCACTCACCCACCCGTGCCAAGTATCCAAATCCCCACAACAGAGAAGCCCGCAATACTTGCCCTGGCCTGCAGCTGCAACCATGTCTTCACGACAACCCATGAGTTGAAGCCATCACCCATTTCACAGATGAGAAAATGAAGCTTTAGACAGATTTTAAAACTTGCCCAGAGTTAGCCGAGCATGGTGGCTCACACCTGTAAGCACTTTGGGAGGCAGAGGCAAGAGGATTGCCCGAGCCCATAGGTTTAAGACCAGCCTGGGCAACATGGCGAGACCCGGTCTCTATGATAAATTGAAAAATTAGCTGGGCGTGGTGTTCCTCACCTGTAGTTCCAACTACTTGGAAGGTTGAAGCAGAAGGATCGCTTGAATCCCGCAGGTCGAGGCTGTGGTGGCCATGAGCGTGCCATGCACTCCAGCCTGGGTAACAGAGTGAGACTTCGACTCAAAAACAATAAGAAATAAAACCTGCCCAGAGTTAATAACTAGTAACTAGTAGCAAAGCTGGAATCAAACCCAGGCCTGTCCAACTCCAAAGCACAAGACCTGCCATAAGTCCTGAACCCCAAATCTAAAGGATCCAGTCTTACGGGGACTGATGAAACATGACCATGCAACTCACACAGCCAACTCTCGGGAACTTACGGTCTCACTGCAGGGACAAGTACATGGGATGATTAAAACAACAACAAGAAGAACGATCCCAAAGTGTGGCCGGGACAATAGGATTCACTGAAGGTGGAGGGTGTCAAGGGAGCTTCACGGAGGCCGTGGGACTTAAGCCACACCTCAAAGGACAGGCAGCTACTCGTTATACTACCCTAGGATAATAGGCTGACAAATTACGCCTCTTTCGTCTGTAAAGACAGAGGCCAGGGGTCTGTGGTGGAGTGATTTACCTCAGAGAGCACAGAGTGAACAGGACACAACCACCAAACTTCGGGAGACGGGGTGGCCTGGGTCTGCCACCGCTCAGTACCTGCCCCCACTTCCAGTCTCACTTGTCACCACCTCCCTCTTTAAGTCCCAGCGTGCCCAGT